ACCCCGCTTCATAAGAGAGAGCTGCTAGCGTAAGCAGAAGACCACAAGCTGTCTGCGGAAAGCTGCCTCGACCCTCTAAACGCGCAGAGAGCGCCCACAAAAGGAGCGGGAGAAAGGAAACGCGCTTCGGCATGAGCGACAGCCGGCTGTGGCCAATAGTTTTGTAAAAGCATCTGAGGTCAAGGAAGACGTGATTCGGCCTGTCTCCTTCAAAAAGACCACCTGAGCGCCAGCCCTTTACGCGCTGGCGCGAACGGTCCAGGTTTCTCTGTTGCCAAGGACGAGAGAGACCTGGCTGGGGGGGCTTGAAGGGGCTGAGAGGGACGTGTAGGGGGCTTGTAGAGGCTGGAGAGGCGTGCGTGGAGCTGGAGCGCTGGCGCTGGGGCGCTGGAGCGGCACTGGAGCGCTGGGGCGCTCGAGCGCTGGAGCGCTGGGGCGCTGGGACGCTGGGAGGCTGGAAGGCTGGGCCCAGTGCCCAGCGCCCCACCGCTTCGGGTGAAATGGGCGACGGCTCTTGGCTTCTGCTTGTCGCTCAGCCGCCATGTGCAGCGTAGATTGTGAACCAGTAGTCTTCCAGTCGGCTCTTGTTTCACCGCTTTGGAACGTGGGAACTCATCCTCACAGTGCATGTCTGCACCGCAGAAATCTTGCACACATCCCGTAACAGAATTTACTGATTCCATCGAGAGTCAAGAGATCAACATCTTGATGCTTCAAAACGCTTTTAAAAACCCTCATCGCGGCAAACAAATTACTGGTGCTGATCTCAGTTGGATTTCTTGTTTAACTGATTGCGCGTGCTCGTTCCGGATGTACGTCTGCTGCAGCATGCGCAGATGCAAGAAAGAACAACATACATGCGTTTTTGCATGTACATGTACACAGACACGAGATAAGGCTGCAAACTAGGATTGACCGACATACTGGACATGTGCAGACTAAAGGTGTGGATTCTGGGGNNATATATATATATAATATACATATATGTATATATGTATGTATGTATGTATGTATGTATGTATGTATGTATGTATGTATGTATGCGTAGATAGAAATATATATATATATATATATATATATATATATATATTCATAACTGTGTTACTACCTCTTGAAGCTTCTGCGATTGCCCAAATCATGGAGCAATCGTCCGAACGACATATCGAGTTTCCTAAGTGCTGCCAGTTTCAAACATGCCATGGATGACGAGTTGTATCGGGAGGCACGCAGTTGATCCAGTACTTGACCCCATCACTTGACGATTGCTGTCAGAGCAGCTGACAAGCCGTGTGCAGCGGATGGTTTGGTCAATAATGGTGGAGTCGAGCTGTGGAGAGCCGTGGAAAGCATAGAGTCTAGATTTTGTCATACATCGATCAGGACGATGTGGACGACCTCGAGGCTTGGCTGCCATTTCGGAGATGGTACGATGCAGCAACGGCGTTTGAAGACAACTGCCCACGTGGGAACAAACGTGGGACGTTGAAGGTTTGTTGAATTTTCCGGCTAACGCATGTGTACAAAGATCATTTGCGAACGACCATGATCCAATGCAAGGCCCTTGACTCGGGTTTTTCGGAAGTTTGCAGCAACAGCTGAGGAAGATGCTGACGAGGCGCTGTGCATGTGTGCAATTTTTGCACTAAAGTTGCGGTTTTTGTTGTAAGATCCAGTACTAAGTGCTTTTGATCCTGTTGAACCTGATGGCCCTTGAATCTATCGACAAAGCCGGTGTCCTGCGTGTGCCGCATCGTTCGCGTTGTCCGTGCCGGTGTTCGAGTTTCCGCCTGCACTCATCGGAATAGCCAGTCTAGCATGAACCCCATGTGTGTCGTCGTTGCGACATAGGGCCGAGAGGTTTGATGTACAAGGGCTTGAAGTCGCAGGCCGAGTCCTGCGGATGATGTTTACGGGATCTTGGTTGTAGTTTTGGCACTGCATTAAGCAACATCGCCCCGTGATCACGCCACCATGCCCAACCTCGGGCGGAAAAACACTACTATCCCGGGGGAGTCTGCAAATGATATGACGATGTCAAGCGCAAGGTCATGTTGTTCAGGTTGGCAGAAGAACCCGCGAAAGTGTGACAAGTGGTTTGGAAGTTGACCAGTCTACCGTGTTCGTGGTTAGTTAGACCCCTCTCCAATCCTGCGGCCTTGGCTGTTTCTAGGCAGATGGATTTGAAGAGTCTGAGGAGGAAGAGGACTTCAACGAGGCAGGGAGACACAACCGTTGTTCACAACTCTGTTGTGTTGCTTTGACTGGCAGACTTCGCATGGTCGCTGTGCAGGGCTCCGGATCCTGAACTGTTCCCGCACCCAAAACCAACGCCGTTGACACGACGCTTTAGACCCCGGCCCGTTCAGGATGTGGAGGAGGAGGAACGCAGTGAAAACGAGGAGCCTCGGTTCTGATCGATTGGCATTTGCAGTTTTGCGATAAGAAGTTTCAATTCTGGTTTGGGCTTTACAAGTATCGGGATTTGAAGAACATCACGGATTGAAGAACCAAGGATCCAAGTATACACCTCGCACTTTTGCCTCCAGGCGTTGATGAGACTCAAGCCTCTCATCATACGACCTCCGATCTGATCCCGAATTTTAGGCCTTGGCCCTGAAGTAAGAAGCCGGAACTCTTCCGAAACAAGGTACCGTTCCGAAGCCCTCTTTGTACAATGCCGAAGTCGAAAGATATTGAGCTCCCTCCGTCGTAGGTTCCACAAATAGATGCTTTCGGCTTACTTCAAGGGGATCGAACTAGAATTCTCTGCTTTTGTTTGGACTCTCTCAACTCTTGATGCTAGGCCATCGAGGTCGGATTATCTGAACTGGCCTTGAGAAGTTGCTTAGATCACCGCACCTCCAGCATCCAAGGCGGAGGCCAAAGATCTCGAGCATGAGGACGAAGATGCCTCAGCCTCTCGGCTCTATGATGCTTTATGACTATTAGGTGCTTGGAGCTCCGGCCCTTGAAGAGAGAACCGACGGAACACTCGCTATCCTAGGCTCTTCCAACATGAAAGTTTGTCTGAAGTGTTTGCCCACATCCGGAAACGCTAAGCACTGGACCGTCTTGCTTTCGTGGCAGGTGTCCTCCATTTCCAATGAGCTGCCTCCTAAGAGCTTTGTTCTGGTGCCAGGGCGCTGGGCCTAAGGGTAATTCATACAAAATGGAAGAAAATGCTCAGCTTCGGTACATCATCGAAGTGACACTAGGTTAGCAATGAGTTTACGTCCGAATATCTCATTTCGGTTCGAACAGAGCTGATCATGGCCGATGTGTTGAGACCCTCAAGCAACAAGATTTGCCCTTTACTTCTTCGCACCAAGGCCAAAGGAAACCCAAACCCACTCCAAGCCACAACCTTCGAACTCGGCGCACACAGACAGATGGACACACAGGTCAGGTGTGAGCAGCAGGGCCGGGTTCCTGCCTTAAGCCCGAGACCCACACTATGAGGACGGACCACAGCGACTCGGATGACGATATGCCCGAAGTCCAGAGAGGCCCTGCCCAGGCAACGGCGATTCGTTCTGCTGTTCGATGTTGCTTCGGGTTTTCAGGTTGGGGTCCTTGGTAGTCGGGTTGAGTTGGGTTGAGGGGTTGGCGGAGGACGATCAATGAGGTGGATGTCGTCTCTGGCGATGAAGCAGACGCGTCAGAGTAGGCTTTGGAACTCGAGTCCAGTTGCCTCAGTACTTCACCTCAGAGTTTACAACAATCGTGCAGGTGTTCCCCGAAGAACGGTGGCGACGCCCAGTGTCGGGGCCTCGGGCTTTTAGTGACTTCTTGCACATAAAGCTACAATTTGAGGCCTTCGCTTCAGCATCTAAATGGACTGTTGTCAAGAAGTACGATGTTACTATATGTTCACGGGACACTTGCTGGATGGATGCGTTTTTTTGCCAGAAATCTGCGATTTCAGTTGCCAGCTTCGGCAATAGGGTCCGATAGGCCATGATGCAGCTTAGGGGCGTGTCGGGCGTTCGAGTGGGGCTCATGACACTCGGAGTCGTGTTTCTGTGATACACGATTTGCACGGTTTCGCAGAGTTCGACTCCCAGGCGTCTGTCAGAGTTCGAGGTGTTAACTCCGAGTAGGAGGTACAAGCATTTCCGTGCAGCTTGGGTCCAAGCCCTGAAGTCTTCCTTCGCAACACATGGCGTCGGGTCCCAGCAGGTTCCACAAACGTGAGCAAAAGCCTGAAGCCCCAACGCTCAAGACCCCAACCCGACATTCTGGATCGTAAGCCGCTGGTCTCCTGTGATCTCACACCCACGACTGATACAGGGAGAGGCTCCGCAGCACGCTGTTGTCCTGCGCGGGTCCTGAGAGGGACACCATTTCGAGTTAGCGAAATACAGCAGAATGTTTACAGGTTCCGAAGATTGTTCCTCCCCTTTAATTTCCACCAGATGTCACTGCTACTTCCCAATGACCGAAATCCTTATCCATGATGTCAACGGTGATATTGTCACACACACACACAACATTGGGCAACGGTTCTCTCACGGATTTGACAAGGTTTGCGGTGAAAGGTGGCAGTGGCAATAAGTAACGAAATAGATACATGAATTGAAGGACCGGAAAACCCCACATGCAAATTTTAGTGAGGGGTAAGAGAGGCAGTGAGAGCAAGTGAGCGAAAGGTAAGCGAGAAGAGTGAATGGGTGAGGCGCGAGCGCGGCGGGGGGAAGCGCATGCAGGACGCGAGGATGACACTGCCGAGACGGCGCGGACGCACGGATACTTAACCCAAAAGTTAGCCCACAGCCCTGCGCCCTAAATCCTAAACCCTAAAGCCAGCCTACAGCCCTGAGCCCGAAATCCTCAACCCTAAAGGCAGCCCACAGTCGTGGGTCCTAGATCCTAAACCCTAAAGCCAGCCCGCAGCCCTGAGCCCCAAATCCTAAACCCTAAAGCCAACCCACAGCCATGAGCCCCAAATCCTAAACCCGAAAGCCCGTCCACAGCCCTGAGCCCTAGACCCTAAAAGCCAGCCCAGATATGCGAAACAGGGCTTAGCATTGGTCCCAGATGTGTGGCACAGGCCTCAGTCCGCGTGTTGTGTGTTGTGTAGCACGTGGTGTTGTGTGTGTGTGTGTGTGTGTTGTGTGTGTGTGTGTTGTGTGTGTGTTGTGTGTGTGTGTGTGTTGTGTTGTGTTGTGTGTGTTGTGTGTTGTGCGTGTGTGTTGTGTGTTGTGTGTGTGTGTGTGTGTTGTGTGTGTGTTATGTGTGTGCGTGTTATGTTGTGTTGTGTTGTGTGTGTGTGTGTGTTGTGTGTTGTGCGTGTGTGTTGTGTGTGCGTGTTGTGTTGTGTTGTGTTGTGTTGTGTTGCGTTGTGTTGCGTTGCGTTGCGTTGCGTTGCGTTGCGTTGCGTTGCGTTGCGTTGGGTTGGGTTGTGTTGTGTTGTGTTGTGTTGTGTTGTGTTGTGTTGTGTTGTGTTGTGTTGGTGTGTGTGTGTGTGTGTGTGTGTCTGTGTGTGTGTGTGTCTCTGTGTGTGTGTCTCTGTGTGTGTGTGTGTCTGTGTGTCTGTCTGTGTGTGTGTGTGTGCGTGTGTGTTTTGAGTGTGTGTGTGTGTGTGTGGTCAATTCATGGTCCAGGGCTTCGGGGTTTAAGAGGACACCCATCGCTGCGATGAGGCTCTTTTACTGCCGGAATCTCTCACCTCTACACCCTGAACCCTGCAGCTCCCAGCTGGCCATGTGAGTAGTTCTCTAAACTCGGGTCCTTTTTTTTTTGGTCCCCAATAATATAATACGGCACCCCTTTATAAAGGACCTGTAAAGGGACCCTAATTTAGAGAACTACCCATGTGCAGGGAAAGCCAACATGCCACATCAAGCGCAGCGTCGCGTGCATGCCAAGCAAGACGGTCGAGGCAGGTTTCTGAATCCTTGCGGCTTTATTTGCCCAGACCGGCCTGAATTTAAGGAATATCCTTCAAAATTATAGTCGGATCCCTTCGTATGATTTAAGGCATGTTTCCTTAATTAAGGGATGTTGGAAGGTCTGAGTAGGGATGGGTTGCTTCCTTGGAGGATCCGCGGTTAGGGTTGAGGGTAGTTTGGGGTTTAGGGTGTAGTTTGTTCCTTGGTTTAAGGCTTGGCAGTCTGGGATGTAGCCGCCAGTGCGCCGGTTAGGGGTTTGGGATTTGTTGTGGATTGAGGTAGGGATTATACAGGCATTTCGAAACTAGGTACATCACTCCTGTAGAATAGCCCGCATACTGCAAGACTGGAATAAGCATCATAAACGATGCCTGAAAACCTTGTTCTTAGTATACAGTGCAGGACCCTAAACCCTATCAATGATCAGCGTAAAGTAGCTACTTTCGGTACAGAGAGCCGCATCCATGAAATGGCCTACAGACAGAGTTCTGGCCTCTCGGTCCGTTCCCCAATGCCCTAAACCCTAGGCCCGAAAGCCCGAAACCCTAACCTAAACCTGCATGCAGAGAAGAGAGCGTGTTTCGCGAATCCTTCAAAAGCCAAACTCGTTGTTGGGTATGTTTACCGTGTGGGTTCTTAGGCGAGTGGGCTTTCTGAAGGAGGCTGTCAAACGGATGAAATTGATATCGACCATACCACGACAGTATTGCTGCAGACCTTGCCAGGCTGTGTCCGTGTGTGATTTAAAAAAAGCCTTAAACCCCTAAACCCTGACCCGTAAACCCTAGGCCCCAGGGCCCTGATTCATACATCGGACTCGTCCCAAACTGAAAGGGATCCTGATTAGCAGGTCAGGGTGCTTAAAGAGAGGGGGTTTGGCATCCCAATATCCGGGCCTTTACGGAAAAGGGGCCTGGTTTAGGGTTTAGGTCTCAGGGGTCGACACCATCGCTGAAGACCAAGTGCCTTGCTTTCCCAATGTGAAAGCTCGCCGTTGCCCTACATGGGGGCTGTTTCGAGTTTAGTTTAGTTGTGTCCACGCTCGGACCACAATGTCTTAAACCCTGAACCTCCGTACCTCCTATAGTACCGTGCGCTGGTAATATTATCTATAGGCTCTATAGGTGTTAGGGTTTTATCCTTCTAAAATTCAGAGTTCGACTCTGGCATAGATCGCTGTTGTCCTTAACACTACTCAAAAGATAAAGTCTAAGTTACGGCTCTAGGGTTTAGAGCCACAAACCGCTAGGCTCCACCTGTTGATCGAATTATGCTTACCTTGGACTCGAAAGCCTATCTTACATGCTCTGGGCTATCAGGAGCCTATGGTACATGTGCCGGAAAACCTATGACAATATAGTATACTGTGAGCCAAGACCCTATTCTGACGACTAAGGCTCCTGTACGACGAAATACAGAGAACCCTCATTTTGGAAGCCTCATGGATGTCTTACAGGAACTCTTAAACCGCGGCTAGACTAGGCTTCATGGCTGCGTCCCCTTACCCCAGCCCCGAAACCCTAAGCCCAAAGCCCGAAAGAGCTTGCAACTCTTGCATCAGGTGTGCAGCTGGCACCCAAGAGGCTGCTGAAGGACTGACCCTAAGGCCATATGAGTCCAAGTACGTAATAGTCATATCTTCAGGCTTTAAGGGTTTTTTACTGTTGAGGTCTGTCGTTCTCTACCTTCAGGGGATCTTCAGGCTTCGGGGTTTTCGTGGGTTCAGTCTAGCTCCAACCCTGCCTCGGAACAAAGCCGAGACTGAAGATCAGTCATGTGGGCTCTGTGCCCAATGTAACTGTCGAGCCTGGTAAACCCCTGCCACCATGAAAACCCACAGCAAGACACGAGAGAGGGCAGCAAAATACACACTCAACCCTGCGCGGTTGCACTGAAGTTTTAAAGGGGTTTGGGGGGTCGCTTCTGGGTTCAGCACCAAGCGAAGCTTTAAAGCTTGTATGGCTCATTCCCGGATACTACGAGGCGGGGCGCTAGCTGCAAACGCCTTGCATCGAATGGATCAGGTTAACTCAGCTGGCTTCCCCGCCCACGGCTATCCGAAACCCTTCTACATCTTAGCCTGGCAATCCCTCGCAACTGCCCTACTAGCTACCCTTTGCCATACACTCAAGACCTACTACTTGCCAGGGACCACAAAGTCTGTCTGTTTAGAGCAGCTTGGGTGTTTCTGGCACAAGAACTTCGCAAGATACACT